TCATCTTCCAGAGGGTTATATATTTTTTGGCTAAATCTTTTTCGTTAGAACTACACTCAGACTTAACTTCTGCAGAAGCACCATTCTGAGCTTCGTTCAAGGCAATAATTTGCTTCGTGCACTCGACTGCCTCTCTTCGACGTAAAAGTTCGCTAATTTTTTTATAGTCCTTAACTAATGAAACTCCACGAGGCTTCCAATGTCCTAAAAGTTCTTCACCACGTACAGGTTTATTTGCCGTATTCAATCTCCATAATTCGGAAACTTTGCGTGTCATTGGAGGTTTGAGTGTAACGGAAAATAGCCCGCTAGATTTCCATAAAACTTTTGATTGATTTAATAGTTGAATCAACTTTGAAGGTGGCCGTGCCTCACGCCCTTGGATCTGAACTGCAATGTCCATATGAAAGGAAATTGGGTTAACACACTTTTCTGCCTCGACATACCATGAGAGTCCTAACAATACGCGATTATTCGAGAGTGTCGTTCGATTAAGATAGATTGATTCATGCAATGTACTGTCCCAAGAGGCCTGTGCAACCATGACGCTAGTTCCGTCCGGATTAAAACAAACATTTTGGCTTGGCAACAAGTTCATTTGTACATCATTTTGAACTGACGATTCAGACAGTCGACCTTTGCCATCAAGTAGTCGCACTTGGCCAATCACCATCTTCGTCACTCGGTTCCATGGAAATTGTCGACCAGAATTATGAGTTAAAGTGAGCACTATACGCCTTTGAAGTCCTTGTCTTAAGAAGAATGCACCCGGGTCAAGTGAGTTTTGTGAGAGGACCTGAACTGGCACGTAATCTCCGTTGGGCGCCAGTTCGCAAACTTGAACCCATGCTACAACGTCATGCTTTTCTTCGGCGACCAATTCTTCTTCAGAACGTCGTTCTCTGGGGGCCAAAGATTCACACGAGACCTGACCGTTAACTCCTCTGTAAAGTGGTCGCTCTTGATAATCGTCCCATCGTTCCATTCTTTCTAAGGTTGCAGTTTTTGCGCGACCGAATACCTCAAATGCGAGCATACCATTGGAGATAACATCAATCGCAGTAGGCGTGAGTAATATCTTTATTGGTTTATCGTAATTAAATTTAATCTTGCTGTTTTCGGAGCCGCTAGGTGGTGGATCAAGGGCACTTGTGACATACGTGTGCTCCGAAGATAGAGGAGAAACATTCCCAAAGGAGGAGAGTCGAAATTGTACATGTACTTGCTCGAATAACGAATCTTTAATATCAGTCACTTCTATTATCTTCACCTCGAAAAGGATGGAATTAACTGGAAGTTCTAAAGATAATTCCTTCGGTACTTCTTCGTCCGCCCTTTCCTCTATAATAAATTTAATTCGAACACGACAATATCCGACCACATCTCCGGAGTACCTTTGAATAATAGGTGCCTCGTGTTCATATTCTGTTTTTTTGAGTAGGCATGCCAAGCCTAACGAGGCACTACCAATGAAGGTGTACTGAGGACACGGATTTTCGTAAAATGGATCTTCCCAATTGAAATGTTTACTGTATTGTGGGCGATCAATAAAGTTGTATAAATTACGCATTTTTTGTAAACGTGCCTTAAGCTTTTCGAGGGACCAGAAATATACAACATCGTTTTTGGTGTCAATCACCTTAACACCAATGCAAGGTTTCTTTGAATAATACAGAGAAGTATCATCGTTGTGAGCGAGGGCAGAAGTGCTTTCCAAAGATGATATAGGATTGGTGTATGGTTCATCTTCGATGACGGTAAACTGATAGAGGACTTTCTTGCCAAGCTCTTTACTTATTACATTTGCTTCTTTCAGCACCACTGCGTTACTCAGTATCGTCTCCGCCATCTGCACCAGTCTATGTCGCTTCCACCTTGTGACCGCCATACGAACAAGACGTAATTCTTCTTCGGTATAACGTGGGTCATCCAATAATACGTTAGAACCTTCATGGAAAGTATGAGACTGTCTTATTTTCGTCTGACGTTCCTTTTCCCGATTTAATAAGCTTTCAATCTCCTTCTGTACTATTTCTAATTTTTGTTCAAGCTGGATTTTCTCAGCCTTCACCTCATCCACCTCCTGGGTGGACGCTTCGATAATACGCTTTTGTGAGTCGAGTTGTTTTTGCATTTCTTCCTTGTAATTCTTAAGTTTTTCCTCCAACTCGTCATTGGAGTTGGTTCTTTCTGAATTATTGTCATCGTCCGAATAATCGGTACGACTGCCCGGACGCATTTGTCGGGCACTTCTTCTCACATCGTCCGGTATACCATTGTTGAGTGCAGCTTCTCTTCTTGCAAAATTCCAATCTATCACCGCTTCTGACATGAGAGACGCAGTCGAGGTGGGGGAATCGGGAAGCCTTTCGTCACCATTCCCGGAAGGAGTCGGTGTCGATGTAATTATCCTCAGATCACTAACCTGCTTCGATATCGCTCTTTCTTTCCTAGTTTCCTCCGGGTTGTTAAACCGAAACACATGAAAATCTCCGAGAATGATACGGTATCCAGATTTTAATTGTTTTGGTTCACTTATGCGCATACCATTAACCATGGTTATACAGTCTGGTGATGGGTACAACGTTACCTTGCCATCAATATTTTCAAAATAACAATGTTCGTTCAAAATATTTTCACCGCTTAAACGTATTTCTGGCTGTGAATCAGATTCCAGACGGCCTACACGGGTTTTCCCACATTTTATTTGATAAACCAAGCATTCCGACATAAGTGGATCTTCGTTGAGATTGACAAGATGGGGTACCTTTTTAGGAGGAAATACACCTATACTATTTTTCTCGACCATTATACCAAGTTCCTCCAATGTTTTTTCTCTTTCACGTTGGATTTCTTCGGTGCGCCTTATCTTCTCTTGCCATGACTCGTTTACTTCTTTCATAAGCTTTTCAGAAGCTTGAATTTGGTCAATTAACTCTTCTTTGGTCTTCCTAATGGTGTTTCCATCCGAATCACGAAGTTCAACAATTTGTTGACTTTCATTGGTCGTAACGGAATTAGTGGTAATTTCACCAACTTCGATACCAAGTTTGCTCCGCAACATTTGTAATTCTTCTTTGAGTTCACGAATAAGTTTCGCATTTGGATCTTCATTGACAACCGCCTTGTTTTTAATTTTTTTGGCAGCATCAGCGTAACGCAAAGTACTAAGTGTTTCGTCGTAATCAGCGGGAGAAATAGCAGCTATCATTGCTGTTTTAGAATTACCACCTAAGCTGTCTTTCAATAACCAAGTCAAGACCTAAATTAAAAGTTTTAGAGTTAATAACCAAACTCGATCAAAATACAATTTAATAACAATAATATACTTACAGAATCTCTGTATGGTACGAACACTTCTACTTTTTTCCCACCCTTTTTTGTAGGATTGGATTGTTCCGCAAGAGCAGCAATAACTTTTCCCAATGTAGTCAAAGACTTGTTAATGTTTGCTCCTTCCTTTAAACGGGCACCCGTAGCACCTGTAGAATTGGCACGTTCGGACCCGGCTAAATCTACAAGACTTCCAATACAAAACCAACAAACTTATTAAACCATCAACCAAAAAGTCCAGTACGTAAGATTCCATTAATAATAATACCTGATACGAGAAACTTTCTCTGAGTCCATATTAGTTTCACGATCGTGCCGTTTTTGAGTTACAAATAAAGTAAACACAGCGTGAGATCGACTCGATGTTTCGTTCATATTAGTCGCAGCTACAGTTCTTGCCTAAGAATAAGAGAAATAATCAACGATGTTCGATCAAAATAATACGAATATGACGCTAGTAAAACATTCCTATAATTATCTTACCTTGTTACCCTCGTCCATTAAATTTTCGATATCTTGGAATGAGTTGACAATTAGTTTTGATAAGTCTTCTACATACGGTCCGAGCAAAGGATGTTCTCTCACTTTGAGATTTCCTTTATTCCTAGGATTTAGTAAATCTCTAACGCGTTCGTTATAAATCTCAATGTAAGATACTTGAACTTGATATGTGACATCGGGGTTTTGATTATTAACAATGCGATTAAATAACTCGCAACACGTAAGCGGAATGATGCCTTTATCTTCGCCATAACCCATCTTTAAAATAAATAGGAAAAATAAAAACGCGTTAAGACAGATTACTAAGCAATCAAGTTAAATTTCATTCGGCCGCTCAATTACCATAGAATAAGATTTCCCTGCGCCAGTTTGACCATCTGAGGTTTGACAAAAAATGAATTAAAATTTTTGTTCATGTTTTACTATTCATAATATAATTCAACTTAGATTCTATTAAACATACACGCAAAAATACAGGTATTATATCCTTCAAATGCATGATTCAGAAGCTCTTCTCCAAGGTCGTTATACAAATGCGCCTGAGTAGCATAATTGGAGTCATTCTTGTCAGCAGACCAATAAGACTTATCGAAAGTAAAGGCTTTGACATCGTCGGCTGACCCATCTTTTTTAACGTTCTTGTTTCCAGGATCAGTCCCATCTGGTTTTGTGATTATAGTTTGGTTGCCTTCCATTCTGATGAGACATTTTGCTCCTCGAGCAAGTTCTAGAAGGAAGCAGGTTGGTCATTAACGCAAGGATATAAACCGATACTAGTAAGATCAAGGTAAGTGCATTTTAAGATTTTTAACACTCATACTCACCTCTGGAATTGAGAGGCCGACATCTGACCACAACTTTAATGTTTCCTCCAGACATATTGGTAGAGGCTTATTCAGTAGAAAAAGGTTTGTCAAAAAAATAATGTATGGGCTAGAAAGCCCTGAAGAACTGAGGCAGATGAAGTGAATATCAGAATCGAAAAGACGAGTACTAAAAGATATTGAAGACAAATGTTTCCGCGAGCTTAAAAAAAATATTTACAATTAGATGATAAGTGTGCTGTTCAATAATTCACAATCGAAAATAATAGTCTAAACAGGGATGGTCAAGAACATATCGAGATGCAGAAAATGCAAGGCCATAAATCGTAAGAAACTAGGCAAAGTATTGCAAGCGAAATGCTTAAGCGGTTTGGCTAACAATGTTCGTGGTACAAATTCATGTCACATGCAAATTAACGATCGCTTCTCTGTATGTCTACGTAAATGGCTGGGCCTAAATCCCGGAAGAAAATCCTTCAAGCCCTAAATTATATGCGTACACTTCACAGACTTGGTAACGAATGCGTATAGAAAACTAATAGTATTATACCTTGATATGATCGTCATCGTTGTTAGACGCCGGTATTCTTGGTTTGAATCTTATAATCAGAAGCAGACCATATTATTTTTCCGTTTCAGCTTCTATTATCAGTCACTTATTGTTCCTTTTGACGATCAATTCACTTTGAACTATGTGTAACAGTTGCACGACAATTTTTT